TGAGCAGAGCACTGTTGTCGCCTTCTCCTCGCCCCTCCCGCTTCCCGCCTTATACCTCCCACCTGCATCTCGGATGCAGTCTGTCTTGCTCCCTGGGGGCTGCCAGCGGCGCACCTGTCGCCACTCTCGTGGGCTCCTTGGAGGTCCAGCGGAGTAACGTCCTGCGCAAACCCAAACGAGACCAAACCGTCCTGGGGGCTGCCAACGGCGCACCTGTCGCCACTTCCGTGGGCTCCCTGGAGGTCCAACAGAGTAACGTCCTACGAAGACCCAAACGAGACCTTGCCCTGCCTGGGGGCTGCCAACTCTGTAGCTGTCGTCACGTGCGTGGGCCACAAGGATACCCAGCGGAGCGACATCCTGCGTAGACCCAAATGAAACCCTGGCCACCATGGTGTCTGCCAACTGCGCAATTGTCTCCACTCTCGTGGGCCCCTGGGAGGTCCAGCGGAGTGACGTCCTGCGCAAATCAGACGGAGATCTCGCCCTCCCTGGGGGGCTGCCATTTGCGCAAGTGTTGCCACTCTTGTGGGTCCCTGGGAGGTCCAGCGGAGTGACGTCCTACTCAGACCCAAATGAGACCTCGGCTTCTCTGGGGGGCTACAAACTGCGCAACTGTCGCCGTTCTCGTGGACCTCTGGGAGGTCAAGCGGAGTGACGTTCTGCGCAGGCCCAAATGAGACCTCGAGCTCCATGGGGGCTATAAGCTGGGCAACTGTCGCGACTTTCGTAGTGGGCCCCTGGGAGGTCCAGCGGAGTGCCATCATGCACATACCCAAATGCGACCTCGCCCTCCCTGGGGAGTATCCAACTGCGCCGTCGTCGTTTTCGTGGGCTCCGGGGTGGCCTAGCGGAGTAGCGTCCTTCGCGGATTCGAATGAAACCTCGCCCTCTCTCGGTGCTGCCAACTGCGTATGCGTAAGTGTCGCCACGTTCGTGGGCACCTGGGAGGTCCAGCGGAGTGTCCTACGCAGATAAGGATGAGATCTCGCCCTCCCCAGTTGCTACCAACTACGTAAGTGTCGCCACTCTCGTGGGCCCCTTGGAGGTCCAGCGGCGTGTCCCACCAGGATAATTAACAACGGCATACACATAAACTGTTTGGCGGTCATCTGTGCGGCTGGGGGGGGGCTACCAGCTGTGCGGCTGCCGCCACTCTCGTGAGCCCTCTTGACGCTCCAGCGGACTGCAGTCGGCCCGTACAGCAAGGACGCGCGATGAGGATGCAAGGGCCTTGGAAAGCCACGTGGACGCTTCTCGAGTGGGGCGCCGCCAGCGAAAGCGGCCAGGGATGGGCCTAAAGGGCAAGGATGCAAGGGCAACCTTGGACAACTCGCTCATCCCCTCACGATGCAGGGCGACTGTAGCGGCCTACGCAGACACTTCGACGGCTCGTCTGCAGCGGCGCCTGTACGTTCGCGCTTCGCGCTGCGCGAGGGCGCGACATGAATTTTTCGCTCTCGCACCGCCCCCCCCCCCCAGGGTAGAAGAGGAGGACGAGGAGGAATATTGGGAACGAGGAGGAGGGGAGCAAGCCGCGAATTGCGAAGCGCGAGTAGCTTCGCTTCCTCACGGGCTTCCTTGGTTTTTGGCTTGAGCCACCCCCCATTCTCCCCCCTCCAGGGAGGCTCCGTCGTGCCGCCGCCCGCTGCGGCCCATCCCTTTCCTTCGGAGCCCAAAGCGGCCCCAAGACGACGCCCAAGAGGACCTCGAAGTCCAGAATGGTCGTTCCAGGCGGCCTTTCGGAACCGACTTTCGCTCCAGCATGGCCCCTCCTGGCCCCCTCCCTGGCGTTCAGGGTCAGCTCCCTGGGACCCGGAGAACGCCTCTATGGACCAACTTCGCCGACGAATCGGAACAAGGTTGATGATCAACGGCTGGATTATTTTGTTTATTTAACAAGCTGATGATTCCAACCCTACAAAGCATGGCTCACCACTTTTATCATTTACAGTGTTCGCCCGGCTGGGGATCGCCCAGGGGCCTCTTGTGGCAGCTCTTCGGGCTCGTCTGTGGCATCCTAATCGTGGAGCGTGTCCGATACGCGCCTCCCAGTCTCGCCCCGACGCGCGTGCGGATCGCCTCTGCCGCGCTGCGACGGAAAAAAGTTCGACACGCTCCCGGGGTCCATCATTGTGGGATTCTGGGTCCAACTTGGGCCGCAGAACGGGGGCGGGCAGTGAGCGCAAAGCGCCATGAACACCAGCGTCTCCTGTGCTGAAGCACTGTCGGCTTCGATCGCGCCGAGCGATCGCTGGCGCGGCGGCAAACCAGTGCGCTTCGCCGTGTCGGTTTTGAAGATCGTTCCGCGCGGCACGGGAGGCATCGCCCCAAAACCGCACGCGGGGCCCCCAAGAGGGGGACAGGACGGCCCGAAGAGGAGCCCACAAAATGCGCCGCGAACGGGCCACGGAAACCACGCCCCCGCAAGATGACCCTGATATAACAAGTCTCAAAGAGTCTCCCTGAGGCCCCAAAGACATCCCCAAGAGCAAATAGGCCCCACGAGACCTCAAAGAAGAGAGGAACAAAAAAAGGCATAGACATAAACTGTTGACGGTCCTCGCGGATTTCGTGGATCAGCGCTGGGCCCCCCCCTCCCTGGCGCGTGGAGCGTGCCAGGGGCGGCGCCTCCGGCGCCGACAGGGGGCCCCAGCGCCGACCCAAGAAATCCGCGCGGAGCGCCAACTTTCGTGTTTATGGCAGTGTGTTCTTCTCCGCAAGAGGCCCCACGAGACCTCAGAGACGAGCATGTCCTGCCCGCCAGGTTTCCGCCCACGTTTCCCACGACGCCCTGCGCCTGGGCCGCTCGTTCTGCCGCCCCTTGCTGAAGGGGGCCCCGAGACATACAAGTAAAGATACACAAATCCCAAGTTATCCCATCTTCTATTCTATCTTCTGGATCTTCGTCGTCCACCCCACTTCCCATATTATGCCGTATGATCCTGGGACATCGACGATTCATCGTGTCTGTGTCTTTTCGTTCCCCTCCTGACTTGTGTTTGCAAGACAGCTGGGCTCGCCAGACGCGAAGGTTAGGTCAGGCATGTCCTCCCGCAGGCGAATATCGGAAGAACAAGGCAACAGCATACAAGCAAGAGCCAACAGCACTCAAAAGAGCACGCAGCACCGTCGCCGGGCCCTTGCCCTCCACTCCTCCTGCAAACTCCTCCTATGCAGCGAGAGCCAACAACACTCAAAAGAGCACGCAGCACCGTCGCCGGACCCTTGCCCCCCACTCCTCCCGCAAACTCCTCCCCCTCCTGCAGCGAGAGCCACGCCGGACTCGACGCGAAGGGCGCCGTCGGTCTGGCTCCCTCGGGGCCTCTCCGCGGGCCTGCCGGCCTGTGCCGCCGCCCGTCGCTGGGCCGGGACGCCCCTCCCGACCAGGGTCGCCAGCGCCACCGGCAGCAGGAGCGCCAGGGCGGGCCCGGGAGCAGGAGAGGAGGAGAGAGAAAGCGCCATGAGCAGAAACTGCTGGCGCTCCGCGAGGACTTCTTGGATCTGCGCTGGACCCCCCTCCCTGGCGCGGGGAGCGTGCCAGGGGCGGCGCCGGAGGCGCCGCCGGGGGGCCCAGCGCCGACCTCAGAAATCCGCGCGGAGCGCCAACAGTTTATGTTTATGGCGTTTCTTCTTCGTCGAAAGAGGCACCCAGCACGGCCCCAGACGGCCCGCAGATGACCCAGGGAGGCTCAGGCCGACGCCAGGATGGCCAAAGAGGGGCCCCACACAAGCCGTATATAGAGAGAGCCTCACTAGGCCCCCAAGACGCTCCAGGAGAGCCCCGAACCCCCAGACAGACCAAACCAACGACAGCCTGGTGGACTCCACTGTACCGTCACACTTTTCCCCAACCATCCTGTGGTGTTGGGTCCTCGTTTTGGAGAGACAGCGCCCCGCGTCCCATTCCTTCCTCCTCGTCCCCCCATCCTTCCTCCTCCCGTCCCTGCCTCTCCTCCTCCTCCTCCTCCTCCTCCTCCTCCTCCTCCTCCTCCTCCTCCTCCTCCTCCTCCTCCTCCTCCTCCTCCTCCCCCTCCTCCCTCCCTCCCTCCTCCCTCCTCCTCCTCCCTCCTCCCTCCTCCCCTCCCTCCCTCCTCTCCTCCTCCTCCCTCCTCCTCCCTCCTCCCTCCTCCCCTCCCTCCTCCCTCCTCCCTCCTCCCTCCTCCCTCCTCCTCCTCCCTCCTCCCTCCTCCTCCCCTCCTCCTCCTCCTCCTCCTCCCTCCTCCCTCCTCCCTCCCCTCCCTCCTGCTCCTCTCTCCCTGCTCCCTGCCTCCCTGCTCCCTGCTCCTGCTCCTCCCTGCTCCTGCCCTGCTCCTGCTCCTGCTCCTGCTCCTGCTCCCCCTCCTCCTCCTCCTCCTCCTCCCTCCCTCCTCCTCCTCCTCCTCCTCCTCCTCCTCCCTCCTCCTCCTCCTCCTCCTCCCTCCCTCCTCCCATCCCTGCCTCTGCCCTCCGCACACCACCATCCCTTTCGGCACACCCCTCACGCCCTTCGTGGCCCTCATCGGAAGCTCCGCCGATGGCCCCAGAGGCCGCGTTCGCATGCGCATCTCCGCCCACCGCTTGCTCATGCCGGCACGCCCCTCACACATGCCGTGGCCCCAGCTCCACCGAAAGCCCCAGAGGCTGCGTTCGCGTCCGACTCTGGGCCCACCGCATGCCCGTTTCGGCACACCCCTCACACGCGCTGTGGCCCCACAGGGGATTCCACCGAAGGCCCCAGAGGCCGCGCGTTCGCGTGTGGGCGTCACGCCCGTTCCGGCACAACCCCCACGCGCTTCGTGGCCCCATGGCGAGCTCCGCCGAAGGCACCAGTGGCACGGCCCGCATGCGGCCCCCAGGCCCACCCCATCTCGGCATGCCCCTCGCGCGCCCCGTGGCCACGTGGGGAAGTCCACAGAAGAGCAGACTCGCAGCTGCGGTGCTCACGACTGCAGATGGTTCGGTCCTGCGCCAGGATACTTGGCATCCGCACCCCTCGACCCGAGATGGCTGCAAGAGGACCCCGGAGAGTTCCACCAGCACCCAGGGGCCCCACGGGTGCCCCCAGGGTCTCCCCAAGGCGCCCCCAAGAGTGCTCCAATGCGGCCACATGGCGCCTCCTGAGGCCTCCAGGACGGCCGACCGAAGAGCGCCGCAGGACGGCCTCAAGAGGGCCCAGGCGACCAGGAGGCCCCCCACACAGCCCGAGGGAGCCCCGAGACTGCCCCAACACGGCCCGAAGAGCGCTCCAAGAAACTTCTGGGAGGGTCCCGATGGAACATGGTTGCACGGGCTTTGAACGATCGGCAGTTCCCGAAACGTCAGATCGCTCAACGAGGGGCCGATTCTGGGCGACGGGCCCAGACATCCAGCTGCTTCAATTTTTCGATGCGTAGGCCCCGGAGGTCCAGACCACTTCCCCAAGGCCGGTTTTTCGTCCCGAATCATTTTTTGACGCTTTCGAAGTCCGGCGAGGGCCCCTGGAGGCCGAAAACTGCCAAAATCCCGCCGCTCCAATCTTTTTGGAGCGTCGGACCTCTGGGGGCGGCGCTCAGCGTTGAACGCCGGCGGCGGGGTCACCGCCGCTCGACGAGACGCGGGCCTGCCGTGCTCGTGCAACGCTTGCGGACAAGAGCGGGGAGCGCCGCTTCTCTGAGCTTGCGTGCGCATGCGCGCATGGATTTGCAACCCAACGCGCATGCGTGCACATGGATGCAGTCGCTGGCGTGTTTAGTGGATGCCTGCGGTTGCTTTGGTCAAGTGTTTCGCGTGCCCTATGCTTGTGGGTGCGTGTGTGCATGTGCATGTGTCTCCCGCCGCCGGTGACTGACTTGCCAGAGCTGGCCCGGCTTCCTCTCTTTCCGTCGCGCCGGGGTCTCCTCCTCTCCTCACGTGCACCGCGGCCCAATTTGCATCCAGCGTGCCCCACTGATGCCCGATCGCCGGAGCAGCAACCTCTGCCCAACCGCCGACGAAAAAGTGTGTACGTGTGTGTGCCTGACACGACGCGAGCCTGCCGTGCTCGCTGCTATCCGTCGCCGCGTCGTGTCGCGAGGCCTCTCTCGGGGCTACGCTGCTCGGTCGCAGTGTCACGAGCGCCCGTGCGCTCGCGGCGCCCACGCTCGCACGTATGAGCTGACTCTGAGATACTAGCTCTGGCCGCCTGGCCCTCATCACTTCGGCAGAGGGGTGCGCAGGAACCGACCACAACCGATGTTTAAGACGAAATGGTTTTTACAACGGACGAAACGATACCCAACGTCTAAGACGTAACCGGAGCCAAAGGAAAAACGGAACAACAAACCAGGCCGAAGCCGAAGCCGAAGCCGACGAAACGGGACGTTTAAAACAACAACGAACAACGAAATGAAACTACAACGAACAACGAAACAACAAAAAAACAAGGACCCAAATCAAGCTAAACAGCGTTGTGGTCGGTTCTTGAGGAAACAATTAGCGGACACTCCCCCCCCTCCCCCCAAAACCAAAGTTGGCACACGCGGAGGAAGGCTGCGGTCGAAGTGCAACTCGTGAGGCCCACCGCCAACTTTAAACACTGGGGGGGCGGGGGAGACGTGGACCGATGAATGTGGCATGAATGTTCGCTTCTTTTTCCGAGGCCTGTTGCACTTGCATTGACCAAGCTCACGAATCGTGGCACCGTCGAATCGTCGCCGTGGCCTGAACCACGATTCGCAAGAGAGGCGTGCAGGATAGTCCGAACATGTTTCCCGATTCGAGTATGCTTTCCAGGCTGCATCGGCTCAAGCTTCGCGTTGAAGCCGTTGTTGCTGACGACATGCGCATGCAGAACCCATGACCTGCACTTATGTGACCTTCACTCAGCCGGGAAAACATGAACTCTGCACCACGGGCCCACACAAGTAGGGCTGCGCCGTGTCGTGCCATAGGTGCATCTGTTGTGCTTACCTCCGCTTCAATCTGGCACGATGCAAGTGTGCATCCCATCGAATGTAAGCCATTTGGCGGTGTCTTCGAGCCGAAGACTCCTACCAAGGTCCAGCGTGCTAATGATTGCAACAATGGACTTATAACCACCCTGGAATTCCACATTGCATCGTTCGGAAAGACAGTCCCTGCAGGTGGTTCGCAAGCATGTCAGTCAAGTCAACCTCGTCAGACTCGTCTGACCACGAAGCTTCCATTGCGACCTGAAAATATCATGTGGATTAAACCTGCGCGTAGTTTGACCCACAACTTCTTATTTTCAGACAGAACACGCTGTCCAGTAACCGAGTCGACGTTGAGACTACCATTACCACCCGACTTCACGAATTGTCATGTGTAGTCGCCGCATCGAGTTCGACGATCGTCGATAATCCTGAAGTACGTTTCTCTTCAAACGCATCTTCAGCCAGTGCTGCATGTCTGCTGCTGCTCCTCATCCTCAGCATCATTCTCCTTCTCCCCATCCTCCTCTTCCTCCTCCTCCTTGCCCTCCTCCATCCCCGTCCCCCATCCCACGTCTCCACCTCCTCCTCCATCATCCCCCTTCCTCGTCGTTGTCCTCGTCTCCTTCGCCAGGGCAGCAGAAAAAGGGAGAGAAAGAGAGAGAGAGAGAGAAAGCGAGAGAGAGGGAGAGTTCAGAAGAGAGAGAGAGAGAGAGAGAAAAAAAAAAAGCGAGAGAGGGAGAGGCCGTCGAGACGCAAGGGCCTGTGGTGAACCCCGTGCTCCGACTCCCGGAACTCCGCGTTGTGCCACTCAGTCTGCGAGGCGCGCGGGATCCCTCCCCACGACTGGAGCCAGGCTCCCCCCTCCCTCTCCCCCACTTCCCTGTCGCTCTTCCCCCATCCCATCCCATCTCGTCCCATCCCATCCCAGCATCATCCAATCCCATCATCATCATCCAATCCCATCATCATCATCATCATCATCATCATCAGCAGCAGCAGCAGCATCATCATCATCATCATCGTCATCGTCATCGTCATCGTCATCATCCTCATCCTCATCCTCATCCTCATCCTCATCCTCCTCCTCCTCCTCCTCCTCCTCCTCATCATCATCACCATCATCATCACCACACCACCATTACCACCACCACCACTACCGCCACCACGCCACCGTCCTCCTCCTCCTCCTCCTTCTCCTCCTCCTCCTTCTCCTCCTCCCATCGTCGTCGTCGTTGTCGTCGTAATCGTGGTCGTCGTCGTCGCCGATCATCATCATCATCATCATCATCATCATCATCATCATCAGCAGCATCATCATCATCACCATCACCATCACCATCAGCGTCATCATCATCATCAGCATCATTATCATCACGATCACCACCACCACCATCACCATCAGCGTCATCATCAGCATCATCAGCAGCATCAACATTCGTCCCATCATCCTCAGCAACATCAGCACCATCAATCACCACCATCATCATCAACCTCCTCCTCCTCCTCCGCCTCCTCCTCATCATCACAACTCCCACCACTATCACCACTACCATCATCATCATCACCATCATCGTCATCATCAGCATCCTCATCCTCATCCTTACCAGCAGCCTCATCATCATCATCATCATCATCATCATCAGCATCATCATCAGCATCATCATCATCATCATCATCATCAGCATCATCCTCATCCTCATCAGCATCAGCACCAACATCATCATCATCATCATCATCATCATCAGCAGCAGCATCGTCAACATCAGCATCAGCATCAGCATCAGCATCAGCATTATCATCACGGCTCTCGCGACACTGGAGACGCGAGGTGTCACACGTGACGGCCTCTCGTGCCACCTCGAGCAGTCGCCACCCATAATGTTGGGCTGGCACGGTTGCGGGACTTGCCGCAGACAACTGCAACATCTATATCATACGTGTACACAAGACTGCATTGGCGTTTCGCGCCATGCACCTCGGTCCTTCAATTCAATTTCGACATGTGGGCGGAATACCAGATTGATACATAGAGAGAGGGAGACAGAGACAGAGAAAGAGAGAGAGAGAGAGATTACATTCACATGCGAAAGCAATGATCACTCATTGTTGACGTGTTCGCCGCCCTCGTTAAAACACGGAGTTCCTCCTCCTTCCTTCATATTTCCTCTTACTCTACTCTTCCTCGTCGTCGCCTTACCCTGCGAGCTCTGCGCTGCCCTCCTCAATATTCGGCGGAAGATCCTCCTCGGAAAGCCTCCAGGGTGCCTCAAGAGACCCGTAGAGGGAGCTCCTTGGGAGGTTTGTGGAGGCCTCCCGAGCGCCTTTTGGGCCTCTGGGGCTCCCTCGGGCCGCCGTGCTGCGAATCACGATCTCCCTTAACGACTGGGCCTCGATTTGGAGTGCTTCGGGGGGGCGTCTTGGGGCTCTCTCGGGCCATCTTGGGGCTCTCTTGGACTGTCTGCAAGCCCTCTTGGGGGTGACTTGAACAACGAAAAAAAAACCTCGTTGGTGCTCTCGCAAGCCCACAAGACCGAAGAACCGAGTATCCAAAAATCATACACAAACCATGTTTGGGAGAACCCGTTTTGTTTCGCTTGGATGCCCTCTCGAGGGTGTGCTTTGGGCCGTCTTAGAGCGTCTGTTGGGCGTCTGGGGCCACCTGGAACTCGTACGGGGCCGTCTGGCCACCCTCCTGACCGCTTTGGGCCCTCTGGCTGAGCCTGGCAGGAACCTACAAGAATCCTGGAAATTCTGGGGGGCCCTCGGCTGGGGCGTCCCGGGGGCCGCTGGGGAACAAGGATCCGGAAGGTCCGTTTTTCGGGAGGGGGTCTTCCCACCCCCAGGATTGCGAATCCATAGAAAGGGAACAAGGAGGGAGAGAGAGAGAACAAAAAAAAAGAAAGCTGTGAACCGCGCAGCGGGCCACCAAGAGAAACGACGACAAAAACGGTGTAGGGTTTAGGGTTGAAGACGAACTTGCGCACCTCTGCGTTCCGGGGGAGTTGGGCGGGCGTGATGAAATGCGTAGTCGACAGGGACCTCTCCTCCTTGTGCATTCGATGGCGGTGGGGGTGGCAATCTTCTTAGGGCATCGTAGTCGCGGAAAGCTTCCTTGCTATACTTCGCCGTTGCGAAGCTCGCTTCCGTGGATTGTGAGTGCGCCCGGCTGCACCTTTTGCTCGCAAAGCACGGGCTCCCCGCGGCAGCGGTCCCTGGGGGGGGGCGAGGGCGCAGAAGGGGTTTAGCCCATCCTGCCCCCCAGACGCCCGGCGAGGCACCCGCGGTCTGGGCGGGATCCCGCTCCCCGGACTTCTAAACATGTAGCGTTCAGCCAAATGCCATCGTCACTGGGGGGGTGCAGGTCCGCCATTCGATTGCGTATAGTGGCGTTGCCTTGGAAACATGTGGACGGCCGATCCAAATCACGCGTCATGGAGCTGCGTTCGATCAGTGTTTCGGCCAACTCGGGGCCGCACGGGGGCCATCGCGTGGTCATTGGAACATATCTGGGTTACCCGTGGCGCATATATTTGGCCATTTTGAGGTTTCCCTGCGACCATCGAGAAGCCAAGTCGAAATCATGTGCGGATCATAGGACCTTCGTAGAGTCGCCCAATGGGTATTGTCGGGTCGCTTTGAGACCTCCTTGAAACCGTGCTGGGGCCGTAGAGCCAACTGGGCATCCTTTTGGGTCGCCTGGACGTCTTGCACGTTTCCAAAGCAACTATTGCTGCAGCGAAAACTGTTGCGGCGGATCTGAGCTGTCCTTGCCGTCGCCTTGCTATTGTCTTGGGAATGAAAAGCGACACAGCCTGTTGCGGCGAATCTGAAGTGTCCTTGGTGTCGCCGTGTTGTCGTCTTGGGAGTGCAAGCGACGAAGCCTGCTGCGGCAAATATGAGCTGTCCTTGCTGTTGCCTCGTTGTCGTCTTGGGGGTGAGAAGAAGACGCAGCCTTGTGCGGCGAGTCTGAACTTTTCTGGTTGTCGACTTGCTATCTTCTTGGACAGAAAAAGCAACGCATTGCTATTACGAAAATTCCTTGGATATTGTCCGTGCGACGGATTGCGCACTCTGCTCGCGAGCACGAGCTCCCGCGACAGCGGCCCTGAGAGGGGCGAGGGATCAGGAGGCGTTGAGCCAGGAGGACGAGGAATAGGACGAGTAGGAGGACGAGGAGGACCAGCATGAGGACGAAGAGGAGGACGAGGAGGAGGACCAGTGCAGACACAAGACGCGTCAAAGATGTTGCAACCTCCAAATTCCCTCTTCATAGGTTCCTACAACGATTTATTTGCATTGCGGGGAATGCGCCGTTGGAAAACAACCGTCTGAAATATCAACCGTGCCCAAGCACCAGTCCTGGGTCTTCAACGCCTCGAGCCATAATTACGCTTGCATTCTGACGATCCTGAATCGTGCCAGAAAAGCACTCCTGTGACTTCAACACCGTGAATCAAAGTGACTGTTGCGCCCTGGCAGTCCTAACTCGTGCCAATACACCGTTTCTGGAATGTCATCCATAAGAATATTTGGCATTGCTGCGATCTCTATATACGAATGTGTACAGCGCGAAGGCGAGAGCCACATTTTGAAAACGGCTGGCCCTCCAGTCGTGAAGCTGTGATATTCTTCAAGACGAATGCGCGCAGTGCTGAAGCGAGAACCACATGTTGAAAACGGACCACCCTCCATCTGTGAAGCTGCTGCAGGCTTTGAAGACGAATGCGCGCGGCGCCAAGGCGAGATCTACATGTTGAAAACGGCCCGCCCTCCAGTGAAACTATTGCAACTGTTCAAACGGATATACGCGGCGCTACGGCGAGAGCCACACTTTAAAAACGGCCCGCCGTCCACCCGTGATGCTGCGAACTTCAAGCTTCAGGATCATACGTGGTGAGAAAATTCAAACGAAACGCTCGAACCTTCCTACCGACACGTCTCGGGGTGCGACAGGGAGGAGGCATTCATGAGAAAAGGGACGGAGGAGGATAGAGAAGAGGAGGAAGAGGACGAGGAGGGGCATCCCTAACGAGGAGGGGGAGGACGAGCAGGAGGACGAGGACGAGGACGAGCAGGAGGAGGAGGAGGAGGAGCAGGAGCAGGAGGAGGAGGAGCAGGAAGAGGAGGAGGAGCAGGAGGAGCAGGAGGAGGAGGAGGAGGAGGAGGAGCAAGAGCAGGAGGAGTTGGCACCCCGCGCCGCGCACGTGCGGCACCTTTGGCCCTTCCCTGCGGTCTCCGCGGGCGCCGCGTGGGCCGAGCGCCTCCGTGCGGCTCACGAACGCGGAGTGCCGCAGCTCCATCAGCGGCGCGTGCGGGTCCTCGGGCCGCGCGGGGGCCGGGCCGCCGCCAGGGACGCCCCGGCCCTGCAGCGGCACGAGCGGCACGGGCACGGGAGGAGCACGGGCAGAGACCGACAGCCGCTCCTGCCGCAGATGGGCACAAGCAGAGGGGCCCTTGACACCGCGGCCCCTCCCTCTGCCCCCCAATTTCCAGGTTGGCCCCAAGCATTCGGCAGCACAGGCGTGGGAGGACAACAAAGTGTAACCCCCAGAGCCTCCGGGAGGCCGAAGCCAACTTGAAAGTTGGGGGAGGGCGGGGGGGGGGGGGCGAACGCGGGGTCGAAGACGAAGGGGGTCCACTTTTTTGTCCCACGACCGTATCAATTACGAACAAGACTTGCTGTCGGTGCCGCCGCGGGCGTTGCACTTGAAACCAGAGGGTCGCCCGCCCAACAGCGGCCGCTGTCGGTGTTGGGCAACACCTGCTGTTAGGCATCGTAGCCACACTTTCTGTGCACATGTCGAGCGTCCAGACTCAAGACAACTACGGCAGCTCCAGGTCGCGGCGACCCCGACGCTGGCTTGTGGCACTGCGTGGATCGTTCAACCTCGAATGATCGGCGGCCTTTCGACCGCCAGATCGTCCCATATTGGCGCAATCCTCTGGGCCACTGCCGGCGTTCAACCTCGCACGCCCGAGGCGGGGTCGCCGCCGCCTCGACACAACTGCAACCTGCCGTAGTCGTTCGTATCTGCCTTATGATCTCGAGCTTTGCAAAACCTGCGCAAATCCGAAGAGATGTGAGCCCACCAGCCTGCTTGGCTTAGGCGGTCCAGGGCGTTTCCTCTTCCAACCCTCCTCTTCCACGTTCGGGAAGGAGGGTGCCCTCTCCCCCCCATGCCCTCTCCCCTGGGTCTGGACGGAGGGGGCCGCAAGGCGTTAGAGCGTCCAGGCCCAAATGGGCCCGGACAGCCCAAGTGGCCTCCAGGATGGCACAGTAAAGACGAGACGGCCTCCAACATGCTTACAAGAAACCACAGAACGGCCCCAGATGGCCATGGAACCTCTCAAGGATGCCCGAGATGTCCAAGCCCTTCAGATACCTTAGCCCCCACAGTTAAGGATAAAGTCAAGGGGGAGGGGGTAATCGACAGTTTGCAAGGCTCGGAGGAAAATTTGAAGAGGCCCGCCGCAGGCTCTTCTTTGTCTTACGCAACCAACCCGCCGCAGGCGCCGACTTTTCAAAACAATACGGTGGGTCGCGAGAGGGTCGCCGGCAAGTCGAAAGCATCCCTCCCGCTGGTCGCCTATCATGCAACGGCTGGTGTTAGGAATAGATGATGTACAGTGGAGGCCAGTCCACAAGAACCCTTCCACAAGAAACCCAACCAGGAGACTCCAAAATGTCCATCGATGTTTGGTATAGGAGCGTCTCGTTTTCCATCGCCAAACCATCGAAGCCCAAGAAACCCAGGGCACCCTGGAGGCAAGCATGGTGTTTCTTGGCATGGGCCCCCACTGCAGATGGGGAAGGAAGGCGTGCGAGGTATCTACTTCGCAGATGGAGTGCACGGTGTGCACTGGCAAATCGGGCGGGCGTGCCTGCACATTTGCACAGACGCCCGAGCCAAACGGCAGCAGTCACCTAGACTGCCATGCAACGCCGCCATCAGGTCCCCTGAAAGTCGGGAGGGGGTAGACAGGAGCAGACTCGCATCCGCCAGCAAAATACAATAGGAGCTCGACCACAAGAAACCGTCCACAGGAAACCCAACCCCGAAACCCCAAGATGTCTGTTGATTTTTGGTGATGGAACGTCACGCTTTCCATCGTGAAACCAGCAAAACCCAAGAAATCCAGGGCACCCTGGAGGCAAGCAGCGTGTTTCTTGGCATGGGTTGCCACTGGAAGGTCAGGAGGGGGAGACAGGAGCAGACTCGCATCCACCTGCGAAACACACTTCGCGGCAACAGTGACAGCGCCCCGCCCCCAAGAGCGCTCCAACACCACCCAAAAAGGGTCTGTGGGAATGGGGTTGGGGCGAGGGGTTAGAGCGTCAAGCTAGGTCCGCAAGTTTCTTATCTGACGTCCCACCCCTCCCTCACATCCCTTACCATGGCGTAGATCTCCTTTTCTACTCGCACCATCAGATGTCGAGCAGGGCAAGGACCCCAAGAGAGTACGAGATGCATGGTATTGCATGGCGTCGCACGGCGTAGAATAGCATGGCAAACCGTAGCATTTTGGGAGGTAACCCTGACACGGCGCACGACGAAACATGTAAATGAACTGCTCGGCAAAGGCGGAAACTGATGGCCAACGCTGTAGCGGGAACACGGTTCAGAAAACCCACAACAAAGACATGACATCAGCGCTGCAGCTTGAATAGGACTTGGAAAGACAGGGAGCTAGAAGCTGGGGCCACCGCTGCAGCGGGAGCGCCATTCGGGAAACACCGAAAACGCTCGGATTGGACAAACACGAATGATCGATCAACGTTGGGGGCTCTTCTTTTTTATTATAGAAACAACGCGGAGAGGGGCAGGCTACGACCTCGGGGTCTTCGGGGGAGAGCGGAGATTAGCATTCGCAGTGTGTAATGTTCCTAGAAAGCCTCAGTGATAAGGCACATCAGCATTGAGGTGTGTTCTAAGTTCTGGACCCATTTTGGCGTCGTCAGGGGCGAACCCAATTAATTCCGCTCTCTGTTTTATCGATCGCCTCCAAGATGGCCCCGCCCAAGACTGCCCGAAATGCTCCCAAGAGAGCCCCGAAGAGGCGCCCAAGAGGCCCCCGAGATGCCCCCAAGCTGCACCCAACTTACGAGGCCTCCCCCAGGGGCACCCAAGACGCTCCAACAGGAATCCCGAGAGGCCTCCCAAGAGCGGCCAAGAGGCCCCACAGAGCTCCAAGAGACCTCTAAGAGAGCAGGGCAGCTCCGCTGGGTATCGTGTCTGGATGGGCTGGTGGGCATACGCGAAGCAATAAGCATTGATCCTAAAAGTGTAAATGTTTCGGGGATCTCGGGGGCATCACTGGTATGCTCTTGGGCCAAGGTGGTGCCAAGATGGCGGCATCTACTATCAAATGGCCTCCTAGGTCGCCCTAACTATCCTCCAACCTGCCTCCACAAGGATTCAAGGCGACCCCAAGTGGCCTCGGAGCCTCCCATGGAACCCTCCGAGGTCAATATGCGTTCAAAACCTACTTTGTTTAACTGATTTGAGCCTTCTCGCCTTTTTGCTTCCGATGGGCCTTCATGGTTGACTCCTGGTCTGCTCACGCTGATCCTGACCTTCGGCTTGACTGCTGCCTTCCCTGCTTGTTCCGCTGCTCGGTCTGAGTCTTCCCTGATCAGGGCAACTCGCCTTGGCACTTAACTTTCCCCACGAGGGCCCCGAGGGTCCTTCAAGACGGCGTCGGAAGGCGCCAGACAGCCCAATATTCCTCAAGACGACCTGAGAGAGCCCCAAGGTGACCCAAGAGGGCCCCCAGAAGGCTCCCAAGGCACAACGTTGTCGACAAGACATACAACACAGCCCTAGAGCGGTCCCTCCCCAGCGTTCTCCCACAGGTTTTCCCAGCAGCTCGGGGAACGCGCGGTCCGCCAGCGTGGCCACGCTTCCGCTCGACATTTTTCACGGCACGCGCGCTTCCCGGGGCAGAAGGAACGGCGGCGGCTCGCCCCAGAGGCGCCCTCGGTCCAATCACAGGACGACCCGGGGACAGCCGCATGACAACTGCGCGGGACAGCCGCGGGAAAACTGCGTTCGGCGAATGTCAGCTTGTGATTAACAAGCCTGCTCCTCCTCCTCCTCCCTCTCCTCCTCCTCTTCCTCGTCCTCCTCCTTCTTCTCCTTCTCCACCCTCCCCCTCCTCTCTCCTCCTTCCCCCTGGCGCGCGTGATTATAAAAAAGTATCGCGCCCCGCGGGGTCTATTCATCAGCCCCGGGGGGGTGGTCCTTTTGTTGATCACAGGCTGACATCACGCGCGAGGGCGACCCTGGGTAAGAGTGACCTTTGGTGCGCGGCCTTTCGGGGGCCGCGGGGGGGGGGGGGGGGGGGGGCCAAACACGAGCGGGCAAGACGCCACTATCGCATCGCGCTCGGCGATCGGGGGGCCCCGTTGGGCCCACACCAAAGGTCACTCCAGCGACAGGTCACTCTTAAAGGACACTCTTCTCGCCATCGCTGGGACGTCCATCCCCCGTGCACTTTTCGGCGTCGTGCGTTGATGTTTTCGCGAGATGGTCCAAGATGCTCCTCGATAGCCCCCGCCGAGAACAAATGCACACGTCCGGGCGATGCCAAGTCTTACGCGTAGTCGATGCGTGACAAGAGCGGCGCAAGCCCCGAGAAGAGGCGGATCGCTTTCGCGTGGCATGCCCGCGAAGGCTCTCTCGCCCTCGCGCGAGCTTGGCCTCGCCTGCGCGCGTGGCACGAATCGAAGTCGATGGCCAACTGCCTGACTGTCAAAGTTATGCTCGCGATGTGCAGCCAGCGACCAGCAGCCTACCGAATCACCAAAGACAGCCACAGGACATCCGAGGAACAGCCGCAGGACAACAGCCCCGCGGGAAACGCACAGGGCACGGGGCAACCGTGGGCACAACCGCGCGACCAGCCCCAAAAGGGGGTGAAACCGGCCTGACGCGACAAAGCCGGACCTGGGGGGAAAAGGGCATCCTTCAAGAATCTGAGCCCCTCCGCTGGCCAAGCTGAAGAGCATTCGAGGGGTACCCTCACCCGGGGTGCACAAGATCATCCAACAAACACGGAAAACATTCTGGCACCCTCCCCGAATCGACATCGATCTCAAGCCTCGGTCCGACCGCATGCCCATCGGTCCGGGAATGATATATATATATATATAATATATATATATATATTATATATATATATATATATTCTCTTGCTCCCTCTCTTTCCTTCTTTTTTGATCCTCTCTCTCTCTCTCTCTTTCTCTCTTTGGTTTATGCCTGTCTTTATTTCTGGATTTCGTCCTTTATTTTGTGTTTTTTGTTTTTTCTTTCTCTCTGCCTCTTTCCCTCTCTCTCTCTCTCTCTCCCTCTCTCTCTCGCACTAGTCACTAAGTAGCGAGGCGGGCCGAGAGCGAAACCGACACGCTCTGGAGGAATAGCCGCTTCGCGTCGGTCGCACCACCGACTTTTCCCACGCTGGCAGGGAGAGAGAGAGAGAGAGAGAGAGAAAGAGCCCGAACAGTTCCCCGCGTAGCTCGCTACCGCTCGGACGCCCGTTCCTCGTGCACGTTTCGAGTTCCTGCGTGGTTCATGGTTCGCTGGATGACTCGAGACGCTCCCTGGTGGTCCCCGCCGAGGGGAAACGAGTGCGCACGTCCGAGCGATGCCGTGAGAACGAGACCACGAGGCACGGACACAGCGCGGCAGTAACCCAAACCATCGCTACCGAAAGGCTGCAAGCGCTGCAGGGCAAGACCACCAGTCAACTCTGGAAATCGAGTCAAGCAGCCAATTCCGCCAGGGGTCTCCTGAGGAACCCCAGGAGGGGGGATGGGGGAGGGGGGAGGGGCAAGCTAGGTGCGCTCGCGTCATATCTGACATCCTACCCCTCCCTCCCATCCCTTACCATGGCGCAGATCCCCTCTCTACTCGCACAGTCGGATGTCGAGCAGGGCAATGATCCCGAAAGGGTACGCGATGCATTGTAGAGCACGGCATGGCATGGCGTAGAAGAGCACCGCAAAGCGTAGTATCAACCTAGCATTGCATTGCACGCCGTGGCATGGCACGGGAAATGACGCCAGCGCTGCAGCGGGAGCACGAGTCGAAACGAGCGGAAGCGCGGAAATGAGGCCAGCGCTGCAGCGGGAGCACGATTCGGAACGAGCGGAAGCACGGAAATGAGGCCAGCGCTGCAGCGGGAGCACGATTCGGAAAGAGCGGGGCCCGAAAATGAGGCCGGCGCCCCAGCGAGAGCAGCATTTTGGAAAGAATGCAGGCGAAAACCAAACTCCGGGGAAACCTGTGTGTAAAAAAACAGTACGCGGGGGGGGGCGGACACTCCCAGGCCGTTATCAGGGGAAGAGGGAGAATAGTATTCATATTGAGTAAGTGTGGAGGGAGGAGGGAGGCGGGAGGAGGGAGAAGGGAGGAGGGAGGAGGGAAGAGGGAGGAGGGAGGAGGGATCTTGGGGTCGGGGTTGGACTTCGGCGCAGGAGCGATTCGCACATCGATCCGCAAGGCTGTCGTGCCGGACACCCCCCGCTCATCTGGGCGCAGTCTTCGCGGGGCCTCCCCGCAGACCCCGCGGACACCGAAGCCTCTGTGCACTCCCTGAGCGGCCGATGCTGCACTGCACCTCAATGTGCAAGTCGTCGCTCCCGCGGGCAAGAGGGGCGCCTCGTCCTCCTCCCTCCCGGTCGCCCGCCTCCTCTCCTCCTGCCCCGCCTCACTCCCCCCGTCCTCCTAAGCACTCCCCTTCCCTGCCTCTCGACCCTCCGCCCCATGGGAGACAAAGGGATACCCATATGTGCGTACCGCCACTCCGTGGACCTTCCCCCGGGGCTGCGCTCTGACCAGGCTCTCGAGGCGAGCCCAGCGGTGGCGACGAGGGCCTCCCAGGGGGCCCGCACAGGGGAAGACGAGGCGAGGGTAGCGGCATGAGCGAGCTTTCGATTATCCCCGACCCCCGCCCGCCCCCGCCCGCCCCTCTCCCCCCTCCCACTCCGCCCCTGCCCCGCCCCCCTCCCCTGCCCGCCCGCCCCCGCCCCGCCCATACCAATCCTCCCCCCGCCCCACCCCTCTCCCCGCCCCGCCCCCTGCCCTCCGAGGGCCACTTCAGGACCTCCTCGTCGAGGTTGTCTGGGAAGTGGTACCGCCAACCACAGCCTCCCGGGGCCGGCCAGGCCGCGACCGGCGGCGGCCCAGCGCAGCGCCAGTGGGCCCCAGGGAATGGAGGGAGGCATGCTTTTCTTGTTGTTGTTGTTGTGAG